CACACACACACACACAGCCATACTGACCGGGCGTTTTATTCGGGTGAAGACGGTAGAACTCAAACACATGTTTCCAACTTTCTAGGAATTTGCAGTCTTGCAATGCGGATACATAATAAAATCACGAACAGGTGGCGAGGTAAAGATGCGCTATCCTGGTCCAATTCAGGGGCTATATTGGTCAAACACGGACACACTAAGCCCCCAAACAACAGACCTCAAAGTCCAATCACCAGCTGAGTGTCATCTGTCACAAGGCCATCTGTCATATGCACCAAACAGAAAAGACGAAGGCTGTGGAGGAAGAGGAGAAAAAAGAGAGAGAGAAGAAAGTATTAAGCGAAGGCTCTCTCTCTCCATTTCTCAGGTTTTTATTTATTTTTTAATAATAAGCTGTCTCTCTCGGTATAGGGGGGCCAGCTTTGTATTTTTTTTTGCATATATATGGACCACACGGCAGAGGACATGGACCTTCTTCCCTACTCTTCTCTGTAAAGGGAGCAGCACGGGCCAGAAAACCACATGCAACAACTGCCACAACCAGCCAGCCAGGAGGCCCAAGCCAACTATCTCTGCTGGTGAGCCTGAAGTGCACCACAGGGGGCCGTGGGGATCAAATGGACGACGCGGGGAATTGAACCCACAACCGCCTGAATGCCACTTAAATGCTCAACCAACTGAGCTAGCCCGCGTGGGCCGTGTTTTTTTTCTTCTTCATGTTAGTAGTTCGCCTTTCCTTCCTTTTCCCCCCCTGTGCATGAATCCATCAGTGCAGGGAATGGGAGTGCAGAAAACTGAAACATAAAGACAATGCCACGGCCCAACACAGGGGATGGAGAAGACAATGGAGAGAAGGCGAAGAGGGAAATGGACGGGAGGAGGGTGGGAAAGAGGAAGAGGAGGGTTGTGGGTAGCCGAGGGCATGGAAAGGAATATAACCATTCTATACTCGCAGCACACCTCTTCCTGCCCCCCATCTCTCTCTCGAAGAAGAAAAAAAGAATGTCTGACATCTGCCTCTCCTCTCGCTCGTCCTACTCTGCCCCTCCGCCCTTTCCTCCTCCTCGTCTTGCTCCCGCTCCTCCCACTCATCATCTTCCCCCTCCTCATCATGCTCCTCTTGCCACTACTCCTGTTTGTTGTCGACCTTCTCCTGCTCATTGCCCCTCCCCCCCTTCCTTGCATTCCTCCTCGTGGCTTGTTGTCCTCCCCCTCCTCCTCCTTCCCCTCCTCCCCTCCTCCCCTCCTGAGAGCGCTAGTCCTCCTGCAACTCTTCCTCCCTTTCATCGTCCACCTCCTCCCACACGTCGTCTTGCCCCACCTTGCTCTCCTCGTGCCACTTGTTCTCCTCCTGTCTGTTGTCCTCCCGTCCTTCTCCTCCGCCTTCCCACCCCTCGCCCTCCCGCGCAAAATGGAATGAATGTTCCACTGGAACATGGGGAGATACACGGCCATATTTTGTTCTTTCCTGCATGCCTCCTGTTCGTCGTCCTCCCGTTCTCCCGTCCTCTTCCTCCCCCTCCTCCAGCTCCTCCACCTTCCGCTCAAAATGAAGTGAATCCTCCCGGTCGTCATCCTGCCCCTCCACGGCCATATACTTTTATCTTTCCTGTATGCAGTGAGTAGTGGGGCTCACCATCTTATTCTCCTCCTCCCCGCCCTCCTCCTTCCCCTCCCTCCGGTCGCCATGCACTCCTGTTCGACGCCCGTCATGCGCTCCTCCTGTTCGTCGTCCTTCCGGTCCTCCTCCATCCCCCTCCCCCCGCTCGTCGTCTGGCCCCTCCTCCTCCTCTGCACAAAATGGAATGAATCTTCCGCTGGAACATGGGAGGTCCCCGCCCATATTTTGTTGTCTTTCCTGAACGTGGTGAGTAGCCGATCACTTGTATTCGAACGTCGAGCTACAGAAAGACAAAAAAAAAAAAAAACAAGTCCGCGTCGGCTAGAACACGGTAAGCCACAAAACGACAAAAAGAAAGAAGAACCAAAACAAAGACACCCGCGGCTGCTATGTACTTGCATTCGCGGCGTGGTCCTCCCCAGGCCCCCTGCAGCCCGACGTGGTCCCCTCCCCCCCACCCAGGCGGTTTGTCTTGGGCCCGGCAGGGGGCGTCAGCCGAGTCCTGCTGCTCGATTTAGAAGGTATATATACCAGTTTGTTCCTGCTTTTACAAAGGTCAGTTGTTCAAAAACATTAGATGTGGGTGTACTCTGCAAGTGCTCTGGTATAGCTGTCCACTGTCCAGGTTACTCGAATGTGAATCAGAAGTTGGGTGTGCTTTTTCCTTTTGGCTTTTGCATTCCACGGATGAAAGAAGAGAAATCGTTGCTGGTTCTGACGATAGCATGCCGTGTGGTTCGATGTGCTTCTGGTGAATTACAGTCGGCAAGGCGAGCAGTCGTGCTGGTTATCTCCGCTGGCTTGTTGATGATGTTCATCAGGCCCTCTCTGCCTTTTTCGCTTGGGTTTGTTTGGGACCCTCACTACTGGGTGGCATACGATGACTACAATTCTATCTATAGTGACATGGAGATTACTGCTGGCTGGCCTGCTTGGCTCCTAGTTGCAATGGTGATGGGCTCCTTGGCCGGCGCAACATCGGCAGTGCCCATCCAGCATCAAGCTTCCGTACGTCTTTGGTATGCTGTCGGGATGGGGCTGAGCGTAGGTGTGTACCTGTGCGCACAGTTCTTTGGTGAAGCTCCGCTGCTGCATGCTCTGCTCGTCGGCTCGATGATGTGCGCCTCCGTCTTCATCGTGTTTGCATGGTATCCGTCGTCTTGGAGCCCCCGCGTTCTTCCTTGGGTGTTTGCTTTGTTCGTCGCGCTTCTTCCGATGATGTACTTGCTCGAGGGTCGTGCGCTGCACAAAGCTGAGGCGTTTGCAAAGGAGGTAGAAGATGAATGGGACGATTGGCGGGGAGTCGAGGATTTCCACAAGCAGGCTGTCATCCTCGGAGGTCTGCGAACGTCGCTAGTTGGACTTTACGCGGCGGTGTGTCTGTTGATGGCGTTGACAATCAAGCTAAAGCTTGCTGCAATGCTCAAGGCGGGTGTCATTGCACCCTCAAAAGCCGCTTCCGGGAGCGAGCCCACATCATCGAAGAGCCACGTCTTCATGGGCCAGCATCGTGTCGTGCAGCAGCGCAGGACCATCTCCAGCGTGCTAACCACGAAGAAGATGGCCACGGAGGGCGGATCGTGGATGCCAGGCGTTGGCAATGTGGCGACGCTCCTCTCCTTTGCCCTGTGCCTCCTGCTCAACTTCGAACTCACACGAGGAGTGGATCGTGCGATCTTTGTCCTCGCTCCAATCCTCCTCCTGCTCAATCAGGACGTCAACCTCGTGCGTGGATTTGGCGACCGGCAGCGTTATTTCCCATTAACTGCTGCCGTGTCCATCTATCTGGCAATTTCTGCGCTGTGCCGTATCATCCAGGAATGCTTCGACTTGCGCGGTGCTGCGGGAGTGGCCAGTCCCAACGTCTCGGATGTCGGTTGGTGGTGGATTGTGAAGAATGGACTGCTGCTGGTCATCTCGCTGCCTAACCATACCATTTTCAACAAGTTTATGTGGGACTACTCCCGCCTCAGCAACGTTATTCTGCTGTGCATCACGCCGCTAAACATACTGTCGATCGTCTTTTCGGACATCACCACCATCCGCGTCCTAGGTGTGATTGGTATGGTTTATGCGACTGTGCAGTTCTTCATCTCGCGGCATGTCAGAATAATGGGGCTGAAATATATTTGACGACCCTAATGATAGGATTCAAGCCGATCATGCGATTAGAGGTGGGAGATGAAGTTGAGAGAGTTTTTGCAGGTGGATGGTTAAGGTCACCACTTGGCGGCATCTTGTGTAGGTAGAGGGTGGTACTTGTAAACTCCCCACACCCTTTTCAACGCACCATTTGCTCAAGTGGCTGGGCGGGCAGCCAGGCAGGCAACTGCCCTGCACTCCAGATTTTGAGATGGAAAACATCAAGAATGTATCATGGTAAGGTCAAGGTGGTCTCAGCAGGGGGCTTGCGGGACATTCTTGGTACATGCGATTTCGCTTGGCTATAGAAATGTGGGTAATGGGGCGGGGTGGGGGATGGTGGGGGGGGGGCCGTTGAAGGGATGACGGGTGGGCGGGGGTGTTATTGATGAAGGGGGGCATATTATCACTATGGGGTTTTCTTCTGTCAAGGAGGAGATGGAGGATATTGCCTGGCTTGTGGCATGCTGGCACACCAAGGTGGGGGAGGAGAGGGTGAACAGGAGGCAGGGGACTCGGGGGTGAAGGGTGTGCCACCCGGGGGGAGGGAGGAGGGGGAGGTGCATTTCTGCAGTGGGAGGAAAATAAGTAATCTATTTTTTGTTGACAAGAGGAAAAAGAAGTTTGTATTTCTCACCCACTACTGATCGAGTATCTTAACGTGTCGAAAACAAAAGAAGAAGAAGAAGAAGAAGAAGGACAAGAAGAAGAGTATTTGCATGTCTCACATTCTTTCCGTGTTTTGCGTGAAGAGAGGCCTGCCATGTATGCTATGATCTCTTTGTGCTTCGGATGGAAAGGGCACAGTGTGGGTTGGGTGTTGGGTAGTAGGGGGGAGAGTCCTGTGTCTTGCATATGCAAACAAAGAAGGGAGGTCTCTCTGAAGCCTTTAGCGGACGGAGTTGGTTTGAGGACCCCTTAGCAGGGTGGGTGTTGGAATACCCCTCAGGGAATTGTCCTTAGAGCCCCCCTTTGTGTTTTTTAACCCACTTTGGTCGTTTGAGCAGAGTGGACTGGAATGTCGCATCTTGCATTTCCATGTGAAACCGCCAGTTCACCCGAACTGAAGTTGGTGCCGGAGGGTTTACATAATTTAGAGTACCCAGCTTTGGCAGCGGTATACAGGGTTATAAGACTTTTTTTTTTTTTTTTTTTTTGAGACGATGGTCCAATCTATCGTGGGGAGCAACACGGCTGGGAACCGGGCCCAGCATCCCTTGTCAGAATACAAAAAAGAGCTACCGGGGCCATTACCCGGCTTCGGCTAAGAACAATTGAAGAGGAAGGAAAACTCAGAAACCTTCAGAAAATGTGTGTCAACAAGCCTCCCAACCACGAATCAGATAGATGAAACCTATTCAGTTCACCTGCGACCACCACCAGCATGGCTGTTTTCAGCACGAACCGAAGCTCTTCCAGGCCTCGTGCTCCCATCAGGCTAGGTTACAGAGTTGCACCACCTTGCTCCAGCGCCGACCAGCATTTTTGCTTCAGTTACAACCCCCGATGACCACTGAGACTGGCCCCGCAAATAGCCCCAAAAATCTCTATACCAGGCCTCATGCCCCCACTAAGCTAGGTCACAGAGTTGCGCCACCTGGCTCCAGCTCCGGTCAGCGTCGCTCCAGCGTCGGTCGTCGAGGGCCACCGAATTTCCAACCACCCTACGCAGGATCAAAGATGACCTTGCCAGATTTCGCCTATTCCTACAACGTCCTCGAGAGGCGAACCAAATGGAATGTGACTAAAGAGAAAAAAATTGTTGGACTGGAAGATTAGAAATCTTCAAAAGAAAACCACGCCTCTCCTGAAGGGCCCGCCGAGGCGAGCGTCCCGCTCTCCCACGGCCCCAATATAGGACCAACCCCCTCCACCCCTGTCCCCGAGGACACACAGTTCCCTCCTAAAACATGCCCTCGACACCCCTTGCCCGTTTCTGCCTCCACTGAGGACGATGTTGACCCCTCGACAAACCCCCAACTCCGCTTCTACCCTCTTCGAGACATTCACCCCCCTCCTTGTGAATCCCCTGCAGGATAGCCCTCCCGATCCACCCTTCTCTCCCAATTCTACCCTTCTAGAATAATCGATCCAGCCCACTGGAATAAGCTCGGAATTTTCTCTTGAAAATGACCCGTTGATCAACATTTTCTCTTGAAAATGACCCGTTGAAGAGGGCGCAGGGCAGCAATAAAGCTTATTACAATTATTCCCCTTCCCCTTGCGGCCAATGAACAGATGACAACTCCCACCAATTTAGAGAGCAGAAAGTAATTATCGGAAAAAACTATCAGAATTTAAGCTATGATAGTGAAATTCAGAAACACTCAGAATTTATTGAAGGGTATAGTCAAGGAACAAAACTACGTAATATGCTAACGATTCAGAATAGATGATGTTAAAGTGAAAGTGAGACCAAACTAAGATTGTAATTGAAGAGATTGAACTTACCTTTGAAAAAGGCTGCGAATATAACCCCGATCGTAGAGATAACCCCGATCGTTGAGATTGAACTTACCTTGGAAAATAGCTGCGAGTATAACCCCGATCGTAATTATCAAATTGTCATGGAATTTAACAACAATAGCGATTACCCTAACCAGAGTTATTGAACAAGAACAGTAACACATCCATACAAAAACACAAGATCAACTCGTCGGAGCAAAACATTGTCGAAGTCCCTTCCGGATGCCCGCGCTTGAACGATCTTCCTCCTCCCACTCCACGTGAGAACGCGTTCCTCCCTTCCGCCCGCGACTCCCAATCAACCGCCTCAACACTTCGCAGGAACAGAGAAACAAGGCCTCAACTATGGCCAAAGTCTTATGGAGATCGCCCTTCTTCCAGCGACGGTCTCCCCTTCGCCAGCGTGCCGACTGCGACACCACTTGGACAAAGCGCAGAGCCGAAACTTTCCTAATTGGCAAAGCTGGAAGAGCACCCAAGTGATGGCCACATACACTCCACGCGCTAAGCTATAGCAGCCCCAACCACCATCACCCTTACGCTTACGTAAGATCGCCCGAAACCACACCAGCAGACATGAAGACGACGAAGCACCGCAGGTGTGCGACGAAAACCGCACCAGCAGACATGAAAACGACGAAGCACCACGGGCGCGCGACGGACCGGGCCGATGGCAGGGCGGGAGGCGCGGCG